TAAATATGCACACATGATGATAAATAAATAGATAAATAAATAAATATGCACACATGATAATAAATAAATAAATAAATAAATACATAAATAAATAAATTAATTAATAAATAAATAAATAAATAAATAAATAAATAAATAAATAAATAAATAAATAAATAAATTATTAATTTCTTTATCATTATTAAAGCTCTTGTTCTGTTAATCATATTGCATATATGCACACACACATAGTGCTAGCTTCCAACTGTTTATCCATATCGATATTTCCGCCTGATTTAATATATGCACTTTGTTTAATTGATATACACCAATGCATTTAGATGGATGTTAAGTGATATTCTTGACTTGAATAACAATCATCAGTGTATTCGTATCCAATATTAGCGCTGCAGATATTGGCATTTTAAACTCTTCAATTGTGTTTACCCTTCTTTAAATAGGCGAGAGCTGAATTATAAGCACAGTTGATCAAATCATTTCTGCTCTGTGAATCTGCATGCCCTTCTGTATGTCAGAGTTGCTGGTGTTGGGCGGTGTGTGTGTATGTGCCAGGGCTCTTGGCAGTGTCTGCACCTGTTGGCAGCATCAGGACCCTCCTGGCAAGGCCGGCAGAAATTGTGTGATGCTCTTGTACGAGTGCAGAGGAGACTGCAGCCACAGCACGTCAACATGGCCGACACACTCCCCTCACCACAGCGCTCGATCCACGTTTTACATTTTACTGCAAAATGGGGACCAAACATGAACCAAACAAATCTCGTTTGTCCTGCTGGAATCCATTGATGCACTGTAAACAATGCTTGGTTCCTCAAAATCGATTTAACTTATTAGTTTCTACAAATTTAAGTGGACTGAACGTAAAACAATTAAGTTGTCCCCCTATAAAACTCAATAATTGTCTTGGTTTAGCTCATTTTAAGTAGTTTGACCAAGCATCAATATTATGAGTATACACTAAAAACAGCTAGGTTCCACACTGTTTCTTAATGTTGTCCCTACTCGATTAAGTTAATGTAGTGGTTTTTACAAACTTAAGTCGATTGAACATAAAACAATTAAGTTGACCCCTATAAAACTCAAGAATTGTGTTGTTTCAGCTCATTTAAAGCAGCAAACATCATTTTTTTGAGTATACACTGTAAAAAATGTAGGGTTCTGCAGCTTCTTCATGTTGGCCCAACTTAAATCGATTAAGTTAATTTAATGTTTTTCACAAAAATTTAAGTGGATTAAACATAAAAAAATTAGGTCCCCTCGCCCTTCAGAAAAAAAGTCAGGAATTGTGTTGTTTCAGCTCAGTTTAAGTAGTTTGAACAAGCACAAACATCATTATTTTGAGTTTGCACTGTAAAAAATGTAGGGTTCCACAATTTCTTCATGTTGGCCCAACTTAAATCGATTAAGCTAACATAATGGTTTTCACAAATTTAAGTGAATCGAACATAAAACAATTAAGTTGCCACCCCCCCCCCCTCAAAAATGTCAAGAATTGTGTTGTTTCAGCTCATTTTAAGTAGTTTGAACAAGCAGCAAGCAGCATTATTTTCAGTATACACAGTAAAAATGTATGGTTCCACAGTTTCTTTATGTTGTCTCAACACAAATCGATTAGGTTAACGTAATGGATTTTACAAATTTAAGTGAATTGGACATAAAACAGTTAATTCCCAACCCCTCCAGAAAAAACTCAAGAATTGTGTTGTTTCAGCTCATTTTAAGTAGTTTGAACAAGCAGCAAGCATCATTATTTTGAGTATGCATGTAAAAAAATGCTAAGTTCCACAGTTTCTTCATGTTGGCCCAACTTAAATCGATTAAACTAACATAATGGTTTTCACAAATTTAAGTGAATCTAACATAAAACAATTAAGTTGCCCCCCCCCCCTTCAAAAAATGTCAAGAATTGTGTTGTTTCAGCTCATTTTAAGTAGTTTGAACAAGCAGCAAGCATCATTATTTTGAGTATGCACTGTAAAAAATGCTAGGTTCCACAGTTTCTTCATGTTGGCACAACTTAAATCGATAAAGTTAATGTGATGGTTTTTACAAATTTAAGTGGACTCAACATAAAAAAAAAATTAAGTTGCCCCCCCTACAAAAAAACTCAAGAATTTTGTCGTTTCAGCTCATTTTAAGTAGTTTGAACAAGCAGCAAGCATCATTATTTTGAGTATACACTGTAAGAAATGTTGGGTTCCACAGCTCTTAAATCAATTAAGTTTTAAGTGGATTGAACATAAAACAATTAAGTTGTCCCAAAAATTCTTAGGAATTGTGTCGTTTTAAGCTCATTTTAAATATTTGATCAATTTTTAGTGTAGGAGCAGGGATAAAACCTTTAGTTTGATATGAATGTCAGGACTTTACTAAAGGTCATACGTTTCGCTTAAAACAGCATCGCTTTTGTCACATTAAAAAAAAAAAAAGAAAAAGAAAGATCTGCTTCTCTAGTAAGTTAGTCATACTAGTTTTGGCCAAAATCGAAGAGCGTCGCTGCTGCGCCACCCAAAGTGTTACACAAGGACTATAACATCTCCACAGAGGAAACAAGCTCCGTGCAAATTCACATCAATGCCGGAAATGTGCTCAGCACTGTGCGGATGACACTCAAACAGTGCATTCATATGCATTGTTCAAATGGAAATTAATTAAAATATAGAAATGTTTAGTTATGGGAAAAGGATTGATGCATATTTTGGCGACCCCTTCAAATGCATCCGCTTTTTTTTTTTTTTTTTTGCTTTTACATTTCCTGTTTTTAACTGCAGTAGTACTTATTGTTCTCATTCAGCACATGTGTTGATTTCATTTAACTTCATATCACCTTCAGCTTCATGCCTATACATGCACACACCCGGCGTTAAAAACATATTTCACTGTCTGCACTGTAATTAATTATTGGGCCTATTAGTCATAATAATTGTTGATTCTGGCATAGGCATGTGCTTGGTTACCTATAAACCAAATACATTTGTTTAAATAATATGTATTATATATAGTTAGAATTATTAGCCCTTCTGTGTGTTTTCTTTTTTAATTATTTCTCAAATGATGTTTAACAGATCAAGGAATTTCTCAAAGTATTTCCTATAATATTTTTTCTTCTGGAGAAAGTCTTATTTGTTTTATTTCGGCTAGAATTAAAGCAGTTTTTAATTTTTTTAAATACTATTTTAAGGTCAATATTATCAGCCTCCTTAAGCAATTTATTTTCAATTGGCTACAGAACAAACCACTGTTATACAATGACTTGCCCAATTACCCAAACCTGCCTAATTAACCTAGTTAAGCCTTTAAATGTCACTTTAAGCTGAGCACTAGTACTGTGTCTTCAAAAATATCTAGCCAAATATTATATACTGTCATCATGGCAAAGAAATCAGTCATTAGAAATAAGTTATTAAAACTATTAAGTTTACAAATGTGTTTGTCATTAAATATTACATTAATTCTGACTGCATATATATATAATTATTTTTAAACAATGAACTATTGGCCTCTCTGTATTTACTGTAATATTTATAACTCCTTTGCTGCTATATTAATATACTTATATAATTACTAACAGAGATGTTTAGTTTGTAAGTCAGCAGTGAGTACAGGTCTTTGAACGTCACTCTAACCATTCAGGATGTGGTGTTACTGCAAAACCAGCACAGGTGATCACATCTGACCCTTGCACATCATTCTGCATGCTGGTGTCTTGTGTTGTTCGGTTTTTTTCTAACACATTCAGTGTGGCTGTGGCATTGTTTTTGTAACATTTTACAATATGGTTGTATCAGATAATTTTAGATGTTGTATTTACTGACATGAGCTATGCAATCATTGCAGCATTTATTAATCTATGTTAACATTAGCTAATGAAAATACAGTCAGTGCTTGTTAACTTAACTAGTGTTAACAAGCACTTTGGATTTTCTGAATGCATTAGTAAATGTTGAAGTATGATTTATAAATGCTGTGCAAGTATCTTTTTTTTTAGTTCAGGTTAATAAATACATTAACTAATAAGATCTTGTTGTAAAGTGTGGCCCTTTTTATATATACAGGCCCGTAGCAAGGGGGTTTGGGTGGTTTGAAAGAACCTCCCACCAACACCACCACTGAGTCCAGAGTTTGACCCCCTATATAAACTCATTTGTCCTTTTTTTGACAGTATGCCATCAAAAATTGTGAAAATAACTCATAGAAAAAGGCTTTAAGACAAGCTAAATGTTTAGTTATTTAAATTAACAAATTCTGATGGAGGAAATGAGCTGGCCAGTGTGTTTTTTACCTACAAGCTACAGTTTAAAATTTTTTTTACTTGGCTTTTAATAAGTTTTAACAGATTTCTATTTTTTTAATGATGCATAATAGTAAATTTGGATTTTCATACTACTTTATTTAAAATGTTTAATGTAAAATTCTAATCTCATACACATTACTTATAAAATTGTAATAGCTTACAGTTTAAACTCACCTTTCTTAATAAACACTTTGTGGTAAAATAGTATAATAAGCACTTTGACAAGTAGGAAATATTTTTGTTGCTTTAAAGTGTGGTTATGATCACCATTCGACAAGCTGATTATGCAGCAAAGATTAGAGCTTTAAATGTTACTAAAATGCAGTATTTGAACCTCATAATTTAATAGAAATTGAGGAGAATAACTGCAAAAAGCTCCAATATTTAAGAAAAAGAACTAGCCCATTCAAAAAGCTGGCTACGGGCCTGATATATATATATATAT